GCTGTTGTCACTCTTGTCCATCCAGGATAACCTTTCTGTACAGAACTCCACTCTGTAATGTCAAGCTGTCAAAGTGCCGATAAAAAGCATTATTAGCTGGACATGGTGGATAATCCTGTCGTCTTGGTTTCTTCCTTGCTTTAACCAGCGCTATCCAAGGTCTCAGAATGTCATCTGAAGACTGAGCCATTCTCCAGTCTCGCTGTGTCATTGCTGTGAGATGCTGTCTAGGTGGATCCATATCTGTGACCTCTGGTGATATGGAGAAGGATAGTGACTGTATGACAGGGTGACCTTGCAGAGTATTGCATACTGCGCTAACTGACTCAGCTGGCATCTGGGACTGTGGATGGCAATCCTCTATTCCCGGGAGTCTGGAGAGTCCATCCGCATCTGCATTATTGAGGCCTGGCCTGTAGACAATGTCGAAGTTGTATGCAGCTAAAGCTGCCAGCCATCGGTGTCCTGTGGCATCAAGTTTGGCTGTGGTGAGTACATAAGTAAGAGGGTTATTATCTGTGTAGACAGTAAAGCTATTACCATACAGATAATCGTGGAACTTTTCAGTCACCGCCCACTTGAGTGCTAGAAACTCAAGGCGATGAGCTGAATAGTTACCCTCAGACTTGCTAAGCCCTCTACTAGCGTAGCTGATGACCCTTTTAATTCCTTCCTGTTCTTGGTACAGAACTGCACCTAGGCCACAGGTGCTGGCATCAGTGTGCACCTCGAATGACTTGCTGTAATCAGCATATCCAAGGACAGGTGGTGAAGTGAGAAGATCCTTGAGCTGACAGAATGCTGATTGTTGAGACGGTCCCCACAGGAAAGGTTTATCAGCATCTGCAGTTCTTGTATTTCCACGTTTCTTGGGTCTTGTACTGGGCATTAAGGAAGTTAATGGTTTGGCAATCTTCGCAAAGTCTCGTACAAACTTACGGTAGTATCCTGTAAATCCCAGAAACTTTCGAACTTCCTCAGGATTTCCAGGAATAGGCCAATCCTTGATCCGTTGTACCTTATCTGGATCAGCTTCTATACCATGTTCTGAGACGACATGTCCAAGACATTTGATCTTAGTCTTGAAGAAGGAGCACTTGTCTGGGGTGAGCTTCATTCCAGTGTCTCTGACTCTTTGAAGGATCTGTTGAAGACGCTCCAGATGTTCGTCATAGGTTGTGGAGAACACGATAATATCGTCCAGGTAAATTAGACATATTTTAAGGTGGAGTCCATCGAAACACTCAGCCATGAGCCTCTGATATGTTGCTGGGCTATTGCAAAGTCCAAATGGCATACGGTTGTATTGGAAAAAACCTAATGGACCAACGGTGAAGGCTGTTCTCTCCTTATGGCACTCTTCAATCTCCACTTGATGATATCCACTTTTCATGTCCAAGGTGCTGTAGAATTTGGATCCTGCAAGGGCATCAAACATCTCCTCTATGTGTGGCAGAGCGTAGGAGTCCTTTATGGTCTGTTGGTTAAGCTGTCGGAAGTCCACACACATGCGTAATTTTCCGCTTTTCTTACACACCAATACAACATTAGAAGACCAGGGTGAGAAGGAATGACGGATGACTCCACTTGTAAGAAGTTGTTGAAGATGTTCCTTCACTTCTTGGTACATGGCGGGTGGAATCCTTCTGTGCCTCTGCTTGAAGGGTCGGTCATCTTCAAGGTCAATCCTATGTTTCACTGTTGTCACATGTCCAATGTCCTGTTCGCCCGTGGAAAATACATCAAGAAACTGTGAAATGGTCTCCTTTCCAAGTCTGAGTTGTTCAGGCGTGACATCAGCCTCATTGAAATCCATTAAGTCCATGGCCTGTTGACATTCATCCTGGGTAGGTGTTTTGGCTGGGAGATCTTCAATGGAGACAACTTGAAGCTCGCATAACAGGGCTCTTGTTGGAATAGATACAGTCCTTGTGGTGACATTAGAAACATGAACTTGAACCATGATCTTTTCATCGTGATGAAAATCGACAATGGTTGGTGCAATGTCTAGATCAGGTGGAATAGCAGAGTTCTTGGTCGGTTGTACAACAGCACAGCACAGACTATAGGCTTGCACAAATATCCCTGGATAACCCTCTCAGTGTTAGGTAGAATGGTAAAACGACCATGTTCAGCACTGCGAACCTTACCCAACGAATAGTTATGCCTTGCCAGTTCCCTCTCTTGTAAGAGCATATTGCGGAATGCCATATACCATGGTGTATGGATATCAGCCTTTTGAAGGAATCGGCTTCCATACTGATTCTTGCATTCATCCATGTAGCAAGATAAAATATTTGTACCTAGCAGCACTGGGACTGTGGTGTTATACGGGGTATCAGGGACCACAAGCATAATGCAAGGCAGTTTAGCTGAGGTTGCACCTACACCCTGTACTTCAACCTCTATAAACCCATCATAAGGGAGATGCTGGCCATCTGCATACTCTATCTTCAGAATAGCATCTAAGGGCTGTAGGGGTGTAGCTGATAGATAGTGAACGTAAAAACTATGGGACACAGTTGACACTGTTGACCCAGTATCCAATAAGGCTCTCGCCTCTATCCCATTTACGAAAACTGTTCCTTCATTAGGTTTACCTATCAGGGTGGCTACCTGCTGACTGCTGTTGGGTGGGCGTTTGTGACCAAAGCCTATGGTTTGCCCCGTCCCATAGGCGTCTTCATGTTTAAAGAGAACTTGGAATGATCGAGCCTAACTCGACATCCATACTGTAAGTGTCCTGGCTGTTTACATCTGAAGCAAATAGGCTCTTGGGTGTCTGGACGTCTAGAACGATGCTGGTCCTGGGGGGTTCTTGAAGTTGGTTGATTCCACCTTTGAACCTGTGGTCCTGTCGGGGGCAATGACCAATGCTGCTCCTGAGATGGGTGTTGTGGATGCCAGTATGATTCTGACCCAACCACTGTATTAAATCCCTGATGGCAATGTGAGTATTGCCATGGTGTGCTGTTGTCAGAATATGAAGTGTCCCGTTGCTTCTTCAGCTCAGCAACTTCAGTTGTTAACTGTTTCAAGATCCCCTTGATCTCCTTCATTTCTAGATCCTGGACTGCTACAGCGGCCATATTGGGGGTTGCACCCTTCTTCCCAGTCCTTGCTCCCCTTTGCTGTAAGTCAGCCTCGGCTCGCCGAAGAGCTCGTAGAAGATCTTCATAACTGTTGCCCTGGTCAAATACATGTGCTGTCAGATCTCGCAGATCTGGTTTAGATCCTGACCATAGCTGGGTCCTTAACATATCACTCCTGGTCTCCAGTGGGATGGATCCCTGTGTTGCAGCCTGGTTCAGTAGGTGTTCGAGCCTACAATCCCATACAGCAACATCTTCTGACTCTCCCTGGCGTGCACCATAAAAGCATGCTAACAATGACTGGTTCCTGTCAACACTGCCGAAAATACTTTCTAACTTTGAGATGAGCTGTTTTAAATCAGCTTCTGGCCCTAGGCACATAGCAATAGTGGCTGCCTTCCCACGTAAAGAATGCTGCACAGTATTGGCAACAGCTTGTTGAGACAACGATTTGTTCTGTAGCAAACATTCAACTTGGTACTTCCAGACTTCGAATGAAGTCTCGCCCTTCTGTTCACCTGAGAAGGATGGTAACCTTGGGGCTTGTGTCAAGGTAACTGGTGACGGAAAACCAGAAGGAGATTGCTTCTGAAATTTTCCTGAACTAACTGCACCTTGAGGTTCATCTTCAGCCTCTACCTTGGCCTGAGTGTAACTCGTCATCCATTGTACTAAGTCCTCGGGGCTATCGGACTTGGGCCAGGTCTTGAGCGCCTTGAAAGCTCCAATCAGATTCTTTACTTCTTCTGGTGTTGGTTCAGTCATAGTGACAGAAACGAGGGAAGTAGTCAAATGTAAACGAAGAAAAGCAGGTGTGGTAACCGTATAGGTAAACGTCCAAATGTTCGCGAAATGAGCTGGCCATTTGACTTCATGAAAGATGGAAAATACCTTAGCTTGAGACAAAACAAAACAAAATCCCGAAACAATTAGGGCTAAATGCATGAGAAGGTGTTAGTTGTGACTGAGTGCTTGGGATGGTCATGAATTGGCTGGGGCAGCAGAGTAAGGGGACACCCATAGGGTATGTCGACTAAACCTAACACAACTACCCATTCGTATGGACCTCAACATCAAGCCAACAGAAGGAAACACAATTACTCATGATCCATGAAACCAGAAGCCTAAACACAGAGAGAAAAAAACATGACCATAACCTGTTGAACAACACAACACCTATTTATGATATTAAAGTAGTGTTGGTCTATTTACATGAATGCATAAATGCACTTTATTTGTTTTACTGCATGGAACTCAAACATTCATATAGGTTGGGTATTCTCATTCACGCACACAATCACCGAGGTTGAGGATTAAAACCCCACTAAATAACAGCTACGTTTATGGAAGTCAGTACTGAAGTGTATGAGCGCTCATTCTAAGTCTAAGTATTCACCACACATGCATGCAACAAGATCTAAATTGGCCAAGAAATATTGTGCACGCAGGCACAACCCGGGTACATGATATTCAGAAAAATGTACAAGCAAAAATTCAGAACATGTTCAAACATTGACTTGCATTAAATAATGAACATGTGTACATGAATTCCGTGTGTAAATAATGGTTCCTTGAACCGCCGTTTGCAAACGTCAAGTATAACATCAGCACAGATCTGTACATACAGTGTATAATATGTGTAGTTCAACCTACACTCAAGTGTCTCTATATCTGCAGGTAACAAGATACAAGTTGTATATATCACAGGACAAAACGCACCTCGCGTCACGTTGTTACCGTTGATCACGTCATGGTTCCGTGAGCGGTTGTGGATAGGATCTCGAATGTTGATGACAGCAAGCTCGCCCTCAAATCTCCAGTTAGGCCATTCCTCCCTGGGGGCTCCAATGTAGCAGGACTGCGTCAGTCACGCACAGACAACAGACGCTACTTTTGTTGTTCTTCAAGGGCCGATGATTTATTGGAGATATGGTATAGGTGAAAACGACAACCCTGAAACAATCAGGTGTGCAATATAATAAATGCAGCAATATACACATATCCAAACACAAATATACACATATAATTCGTACATATGTTATAACATTACAAAATAGTTGCTTCAGTAAACAATTACTGTGTACAAAATGTATTTCATTTGATATACATGACATATATACAACATATAAACCTACCAGGTGTGTGGGCCTAGGTTTATTTCACACCTGGGGACGCTGCTGTATCTGTATTAAATGTTTGCCTGTAGAGAAAATAACAATAATATATACAGACATGCTAATGATGAACATATACAAAAGCATTCTCAGCACTGATACAGTAATCAAACACAAACTTGGCTGTAGCTGAGCAAGATATAAAACAATGCAAAATAAGACCTCATTCATTCATTCATTCATTCGTGCTTATTTTCATTCACCCATTTATGATTACAAAGCTATACTTGTGTTCATCCATTCATCACATGCTCACGTGGTTAACCTTGCCTTTTAATAATCATGTTACTTAACTATAACATTATAATGAATGTAGAGTATTTATCACCAACTTCACAGTACTAATTTAAGACTAACACACACTGATACAACTACAAGTTATATCTACAAATGATATACATGAACAATAAATAGATAAAATATCCAAATTACCTTAGAATATGATCCAAAGATACGATCCAAAGGTATGTCCAGAAAATGATCAAGACATGTTGACACACTGAAGATTGAATGTGGAGTGACCACAAACCTTGTAAGGTGTAAAAGTGTAAAGCTACGCTGATTGCCCAAGCTGGCTATAAAGACAAAAGGACCTAAGTGGGGAAGGGCTTATGTTATTGTGCTGTGTGGTGATGATATTATATTACAAAGGATAATTTTTAAATGTCCACTTTGAAATTAAACTTAGCATCATTATAAACGATAGCTGACGTAACAAAGACACGATATAATCCTTTAGGGGAATGAAACTGGGAAGCAAACGGCATGTCATAACAATTTATAAATACATATAGTATCCAGTCCTGTCGATCTTCGGGTGGTCATGCCACCTATATATTTCGAGACATTTAATACAATGGCTGATTTAAGCTTTTCCATGGGTATCATACCTTTTACGTATCACAGCATAAACTTTATGATCAAAAGATGAGACATATTCAACACACATGAAAAAGCATAAAATATCTTTGAGATGACCCTTTGTGCATGTAGGCAGGACGTGCATTTCATGCCAGCTGAGCGACCAAATTGCCATCTATAGTCCGATCTATTGTTTTGAGCAGCTATTCGTACTTTTTCTAAGTTTTGCCCTATTTTACGAGTAAACATGCTTTTCTGGATACAGAGTAACAGCCTAAAAACAGTTTTTTTATATTTCCGACAGTACTTTAAAACGTGTGTATTAAACATTAAAACCTTTCTTAATAATACATGCTATTTATTTTGCCAAGAGTATCGAATTTTATGAAATTTCAAGAAATCGCGGGAAACAAGAGAATGCGACGTTTCGATACAGATTCTTGTACCGTTGTCACGCAGGCATGTACGGAAGCGCTGAAGAAACATGAGTAGGAGAATGTTATAGTGCGCACGATATAACATATCGTACACTATATCATATCGTGCGCACACTACATTACATCGTGCGCACACTTTGTAATATCGTGCGCACTTTCTTACATCGTGCGCGCACTTTCTGACATCGTGTGCACACTATATTACATCGTGCGCACACTTTCTTACATCGTGCGCACACTATATTACATCGCGCGCACATTTTAGTATCTCGTGTGCACGATATATAAAAATAAAATTCTCCTACTCATGTCCCTTCAGCGCTTCCGTAGGAATGTAACACGAGTGAGTGAGTGAGTTTAGTTTTACGCCGCACTCAGCAATATTCCAGCTATATGGTGGCAGTCTGTAAATAATCGAGTCTGGACCAGACAATCCAGTGATCAAAAGCAGGAGCATCGATCTGCGCAATTGGGAACCGATGACATGTGTCAACCAAGTCAGCGAACCTGATCACCCGATCCCGTTAGTCGCCTCTTACGACAAGCATGGGTTGCTGAAGATGCATTCTAACCCGGACCTTTACGGGTAGGGAACCGATGACATGTGTCAACCAAGTCAGCGATCCTGACCACCCAATCCCGAGCACCATCAACCGAGACCGCACTCAGTATTGTTCCAGTGTCCAGTCTGAACCAGACAATCCAGTGAATGTCATCATGAGCATAGATTTGCGCAACTGGGATGTGATGTCATGATACAATATCATGGATTGTTGTTGCTTCTCTTCCAAGTCAACAGTTTGACGTATTTTTATATATTTTAAGTGGCATATTGTAAGCTAAGGACATAAACGAATTAGATCCTTGGTTGGCATTTTAGAAGATGCTAGTTGATGAACACATAACATATCATATTATATAACATATTTTGAAATATATAAAACATATTAGTTTTACCTGATGATGGGGCCGGAACAGTCCCCGAAACGTTGTATCAAAGAATAAAAAGAAGATGAAATCCAGGAAATTCTTTATGTTCGACATATAAGAAATTTGAAATATAACTCGAAAAGCACAAATATAGCTCGTTATATCCGTCAGTAAGCTATATTTGTTTGTTCAAAAACTTGAAGTAACGAGAAAATACACGAACAACGAGTAAATACTTGAAATTTCATGTTTTGGAAAGTAACTTGAAGCTGAAAAAAATGTTTTATGCTACACAAGTGGTAGCAATAGGTTTTCATAATAACAGGCCTGTTATGCTGTTCAAGATACTTCATATACTTTAATAACAGGCCTGTTATGTTGTTCAGGATACTTCATATACTTTAATAACAGGCCTGTTATGTTGTTCAGGATACTGCATATACTTTAATAACAGGCCTGTTATGTTGTTCAGGATACTTCATATACTTTAACAACAGGCCTGTTATGTTGTTCAGGATACTTCATATACTTTAATAACAGGTCATTTCTGTTACCTTGGATACGGCACAACACGACTGATTCGTTACACTGCACATTGTTTTTTACACTGAAACTGGTATATACGCTAAATTCCAACAATCCCACATTTATGTAATATTTAGTGAGCAATAGGCGGATTTTAACACAATACATACGTAGGGATGTACACCTTGTAGTGGAGTTTGCCTTCCTATAATGTCGCGTCCTTGGATGGTGTATCCCACAAGGCAGTCATAGCATCATTCTCGATTTTGTTTGTTTGTTGTTTAACGCCGCACTCAACAATACTCGGCTGTCTGTAAATAATCGAGTCTGGACCAAACAATCCAGTGATCAACAGCAATTACCCAATTGGGATACGATGACATTTGTCAACCAAGTTAGCGAGCCTGACCACCCAAAACAGTCAGTTCGCAATAAGCATGTTCGTTATAAACGTAGTGTATTGCAGCTGGAATACATCATTCTGGTGTAAAACATCATTCTGGAAGGATGTCGTGGAATAGCAATATTCAAACAACATCACGGCGGGGGACACCAGAAATGGGCTTCACACATTGTACCCATGTGGGGATTCGAACCCGGGTCTTCGGCGTGACGAGCCGACGCTTTAACCACTAGGCTACCCCACCGCCCCTCATATTGTAATGAGTGAGTGAATACGGTTATACGCCGCTTTTAGCAATATTCCAGCAATATCGAGTCGGGAACACCAGAAATGGACTTCACACATTGTACCCATGTGGGGAATCGAACCCGGGACGAGCGGACGCTTTAACCACTGGGCTACCCCACCGCGACACACATCTTTTTGTAAAAATCAGAGATCAAGTAAAAATACAGCTGAAATTCCTTTATGCGTTTCTTTTTTGGGAGAGTATAGATTTGACTTTATTCTCTTTATTATTTTTTTGATAATCATAGAATATTTATTCAAATATATTTTGAAATAAATTTACATAACTCATAAATACTAAACATATTTACCATACATACAGTTCATGAATATTAGTGCATACTCACAAAGACATTATATGATCGTTTGCATACACACCCAGTTTCCTTTCTAGTTCCGTAATTGATTTGCCTCAACGTAAATAACTCCAACAACCAAGGATATGTTATCCTAACATGTTTTCCTACTTTCTCAATTCTAGTTATCGGTTTCTAAATTATCAATAGAAAACGAAGTACGGGAGTCATGTGTCAGCGATATTATCCACCTGTCCGGGATTTTCCGTTGCCCGGCTTCTACTTTCGGTTGACCAATGATAATGTGTGTTAATGTAAGTTTTAAGATAACATTTAATACCATCAGATGATGTTAAATGTTTAGACATTCCATCACGACAGCACTGGAGACATATGTGGAATCGAACTCGGTCTTTCAGGGTGATGAGTGAAACCGAACCCACTGGGCTCCGCAACCATCCCTCAAAGCGAAAATGCGATCAGATCCTCAGAGTGAATGGAATTGGATTTTACGTCGCGTTTTGCAATATTCCAGCAATATTACGGCGGGGTAGACTAGAAGTGGGTTTTACTCAATGTACCCATGTGGGGAATCGAACCTTCGGTGTGATGAGCGGATGCTGTAATCACTAGCCTACCCCGCCGCCCGAGAAACCTTAAGAATTAAATCTCGTTTGAAACACACTTCCTTGAATCATACAAGCTTTAAACCACAACTGCAGGAGTCCAGGGGCGGATTCAGGATTTTCCCTCTGGATCCGCGAATGGGAGTCTGCCAACATACAAGGGATAACGTATTTGTCTCCGGTAATTCTCTGCTGAAATTTGCATCCGTTAGCGATAGCTAGGCATGTTTCTCATCTCGACATTTTAACTCGTATACTATAACTGCTACCTGGTTTGCGTTACGGAAGGACGCTTCAGGCGTGGAAGGAAACTCATTAACAATCGCACATCGGCCACAATAGCTCCGTGACTTCCGCAAGGAAGATCTCTAATATGAAAGGATAAACCCGTTCAGTATCGTTTACAGACTATATTTTGAGGACGTAAATAAAAACAATAATAACAGATAATTATTAAAAACCTTATTCCTACTTGTGAATAGCTTTTAGGAAATTCAATACAGGTTGCATTAATACTAATATTTGTAACAATAGAAGTCCGACATTTGGCTCTGCTCCGTCTGTTTTAGTGAACCGACATTTATAAACATAAACTTCTGACAGTGTTATCAATGTTTTGACCGATGTTTTTGATCCTTTGATCACCAGATCAGACCTGAATTTACGAGGTTGAGTAATTATACGCCAGACACGAAAAATGCCAAATGGGAGTCTTTGTCAATTAATCAGCTTGCCGTTACCACTTACTATCATCTGTAATAAATTCATTAACTGAGCAAGTACGATGGGGTAACCTAGAGGTTAAAGCGTTTGCTGGTCACGCAAAACCCCAGGTTCGATTCCCGCCATCGGTACAATGTGTGAAGCCAATTTCTGGAGTCCCCCGCCGTGATATTGCTGGAATAGTGCTAACAGGGGCGTAAAACCATACCCACTCACTCACTCACTCATCAGAGCAGCAAATGCAGAACGCCAATTAAACAGGTGTAGGTTTATACCACTAAACACGGATGACAACAAGAGAGCAGTAATTGTTGCACTGTTTGCAATTCAGCAGCCCCCAAATTATGGTCCGCTGCTTTTTTGAAAATACGAAGGGGAACTTTCACTTTGTGGTGGTCGCCGTATCCTTCTGTAAATACGTGTACATACACATTTGGGGGCGGTGGTGTAGCCTAATGGTTAAAGCGTTCGCTCGTCACTCTGAAGACCCAGGTTCGATTCCCTACTGTACAATGTGTGAAACCCACTTCTGGTGTCCCACGCCGTGATATTGCTGGAATATTGCTAAAAGTGGCGTTTAACCAAACTCACTCACTCACATGCACATTTACCCAGCTGGTGCGAGTTTTCAGTTCTGCGCGATCAATAATGTGATTAATATTCACGAGCTGGGCCGGTGATACCTTATTACGCCTGTAAATACTGTAATATGATTGGATGTGTCCGGGAAAAGAAACCAATCAGTGTACTTCTCTTTTCTTTTGCTTTTACGTTTGACTGCGCTTTCAAGATTATCTAATATTAATATGTGGTATCCTCCCATTACTCCTACATCCCATTACCCCTACAGCTTATAACAACAAAGTTCACGGTCCAATGCACTGCTAATCCCATTCCTGTTACCTGTTACCTGGACAATGGACTAGCCAAACACATGAACACAAGATTTAATGTTTTGATTTATGGATTTAATTACACTAATAAATGAATATAATACACAGATATCCTCCTGGTCGTGACATGAATATGAACAGCAGGTCATGTTAACTTTTTTAATGTTAATTTTTGTCTTTTACTTCATTTCATCTTAACAAACTTTCTCTAACCAAGAACACCTTAATCCTTTCTAATTTGTATACACAACACTTTAATCGCTCCCATGGGTAAGTTCATTATGCCAGACAGGTAAATGCCGTGTGTTGTTTTAACTAATTGTAGGGGTACTAGGATGTAGGGGTAATGTAGGGGTAATGGGATACAACCTAATATGTCGTTGCAGTTATGACATATTAGCACCTTTAAAACATTCACCTAGAATTCACATAATCAATTAACCTTAATCACGGTTAAAATGCGGCAAAACACGTGCGCAATCTGGAAGATACACAGACAAGCATTCATTGATTGATGCTGCATTAGATATCTTGTAAAGATGAATCGACTATGGAACTTAAAGAATAACATATGTAAAACAGGATTGATGTTTATTTGAGATTTATTATGATGAAAACGTTTTGGGTTCGAACTAAAGACTAACCATTTACTGGGTAACACTACACTGTATTTCTTCTTCCGAAACTCTGCTGAACGGAGATCACGTCAATGGTATTTATTGTGATAAAAACTTTAACACTCTCCAAGTGTGAATGTTATTTTGCACAACATACGTATGTATGTGTTGATTGTTGAATATGTAACACTGAAATACGCTGGATAAGAACGACTGAATATCTATATAGAAGAGGTTTGTTTAAAATACTAAATATACACAATTTTTAACATATCCCAATATCACGATATGAAAGGAAAGTCATTCATGAACATTTCATTAGGAATCTGGGTGAGTGTTCACAGATTTCATGAAGTGGTACTGTTTCACATTTACTTTTTCAAGCTGTCACTGAAAGTCCGCAAATAACTATAAATACTATTCACGTTCACACGATTAGATCTATGCTGACGTCACATATAGTATCGCGACATGCGTGGGCGGGCAAGGGGCCTGGTGACGCTAAAACTAGCATCAAGGTACATGCATGTTTTGTAACTTTCGGGATCTAAGCACTATGTGAAAGGAACCCTCTGACGCTTGTGTATGGGATTTCAAGCCCTGTATGCAGGGGTTTACCGACATTACCAGCCCACGGTCGATCTGATTTCATTCTCGGGGAAAGCACAAGCTAAAAATAGATATGTCTCCGTAGTACTTGAATATTACCTCCCCTGAATGGCCGTCACACAAATACAAACACGCAATGGCGAGTGTTCGTTCTACTGCGAATCATTCCTATTCTACAGATGACTGTTTAGGAATTGGAGCAACATGTGAAGTTTATAAAGGAATCTCCAAGGTAAATACATACAAATGATATGTATGAAGTTTGTATGTAACGAATATTGTCAGTAACCATGTTTACAGTTGCTGTGTTGTAGGCCCCCCTGTTTCCGGGTCGATGCAGCAACTTACTTTCGGTTTGTGGTTCTCCCTACAATATGGAAGTGTTTTAATACTTATGAAACACGTCTACATTAATCTGTCACATATTTATTCCTTGTTGTGAGATTGACGGAACAAATGTTTACCACTGTAAACCTAATGTAAACACAAACACTCCTATTGTTGTTGATTATATCCGGTATGTAGTTTTGTCGATACGATGAAATACGTTCTGCGGGAGTACTGCACTTTACCGGGCGCACTTTTTCAGATTAATTAGCGCTGCTGGGGTTCCCTAACCCTAAGGATCGTAAAGGGTGCCTAACCCTAAGGCTCGTAAAGGGTGGCATACCCTTACCCTAACCCTAAGGATCGTGAAGGGTAGCATACCCTTACCCTAAACCCTAACCCTAAGGACCGTAAAGGGAGCAGCGAGGGCTGCGCCCGGTAAAGTGCATTCTAGCCCGTTCTGCTACATAGTGTACAAGTCCTCGACCTCTATGTGTTCTGTAGTAATATATATTAAAATTCATATATTGTAAGTTCAGTTAAGAAGCTTTAATTTGATACTGCTCTGTGATAGACGGATGTTTGATCATCCGATGCTCCGAATGCGACTGAACAATGCGACAGCTAGTACTTTATACTGATTAGTGATATCGTCTACTTTAGTTCGCGATAACAGTGATATCAACATTACAGCGTGTGATATCATATGTCGGAACATTGACTGTATCTGATATGAGCATCATATCTATGGGGACCGCCTTCGTGGTGTAGTGGTTAGAGCGTCCGCCCGGAGAACGGAAGGTCGCGGGTTCGATCCCCGACCGCTTCATACCAAAAGACGTTAAAATATGGTACTTGTTGGTCCCTGCCTGGCGCTCGGCATTAATGAGTACAACAAGGACTGGTCGGCTCGGAGTCAGTATAATGTGTCTGAGTGGGGTATTCATGCTTCACCTCGGCATGCTATCTCAGTGGGCTAGCACTATAAAACCAGCCAAAGTCTGGGCTAGTACAAGCAGCCGCACATACACATACACACGCATGCACGTCGTCATATGAGCGAAATATTCTCAAGCACGACGTTAAACCCAATTTCACCTCACCTCACCTCATCTCACCTCACCTCATGGGACAACTGACAAATGACACTGATTGTGTTTGTTGGCTGTTTAACAGTAACACCGCACTCAGCAATATTTCAGCTACGGCGCTCGGTCTGTAGATAAATCATGCCTGGACCAGACAATCCAGTGATAAACTGCATGTGCATCAATCTAGGCAGTTGTGATATGGTGACATGCGTCACAAAAGACACAAATTCGACCATGATAGTATATCTTTTCTTAATAGCATCACACAATAGGCAAGGGGCGGTGGTGTAGCCTAGTGGTTAAAACGTTTGCTCGTCGCGCCGAAGACACGAGTTCGATTCCCCACATGGATACAATGTATTAAGCCCATTTCTGGTGTCCCATGCCCTGATATTGCTGGAATATTGCCAACAGCGGCATAAAACCACACTCACTCACTCGCTCTATGTCAAAATATGCTAATTGTCAGATAATATTCCAATTACGATTCATCAAGTGGTCACTTAGACTAGCGCTATGTCTCTGAATATATATAATTTTAATAAAAACAAATAATTTCTTTTAAATTGAAAAGGAGCCCCTGTGAGACAGGTGATTCAGGGCCCGTGGGAATATAGACTTGCTTCATTGAGGGCTTTAGCACTGCAGAAAGGGCTAAACAGAAGGGAAAATAATGTGGTTCAGGGACTGTGAGACAGATGGTCACTGTAATCAAGTGTATGATTTATTGCAGTCTGGCGAGATCCGGGCTCTGAAGGTGTTCGGCCCCAGGACAGATGGCGACATCGGCCGGGAGATAAAGGCCCTGAAACAGCTGAACCACCCCAACATCATCAGATACTACGGCTGCGAGGAGGAGGTGGGAACCACTGTTTTTCTGGTAGTCTGGGGAGGACCTGGGATTGTAGTGGAATGAAAAGTTATTATCAAGATATTGTTGAAAATAATATATTGATTCTGGTTTTACAACAACAAAAGTGTTGGTCATACTTAATGTGCTTTAAGACGTGTTTTGAAAGACTTTGGGGGTTTTCCTATCAAAGTAGTAAAATCTATTCTGTGTTTAACAAAAAATATATAGAGGCTATTATATGAGTGCCCATGTCATATTATGTTTACGACACGAGTGCCATGACAAAGTGATATTTTGCCCTAGGGCATTGTATGAAAAATGTTAACCCCGATATTATACTTAATGGTCATTAGGGTACCTGCTTCGTATATCAGCTAGGTTTGAGTGATAGATCCGTGGATATAGCGTTAGCCCGGAAGGATTAAGGTCGGTCGTTCGACCCCCGACTCCCTCAAACCAAACGACGTTAAAGAACCACTAAACTTTGTTTTTTGTTACTCTTTTAACCATTACATATGAAAGATTTGTGGTTAGTCTTATGTGGAACACCAAGTTCATTCTTTAAAAACTTGTGGTTAATTAATACCGAGCGATTAAAAGTGGCCAAAAAGTCGCCTGCTTCCCTCTCGCCCGCCAACGAAACCACAGACAGGTTACGTAACTCTGTCGCCAGAGCACTGCAGTGACGTCATATGAGGAACGATTTTCAGTTAGTTGTATAGAAAGTGTGTAGCACGCTCATCATTTTGATGATTTCTCGACATGAACGACGACATGCCGAATCGTTGCTTTGTCGTCAATTGCTCCTAGGGGTCGGGTGATGGTGTCACCATGCACAGATTTCCACAGGACCCCGCAGTTCGTGCTAAATGGGTTATGTTTGTGAGTGCGAAGCGAGCGTTGTGGAAGCCTGAAACGATATCTTACTTGTGTTCAGATCGCTTCACGGAAGTTAAAGAATCAAAACTACTTACTAGTTATAGTAAAATATGTATATGATTGATGACCATAAAGATTTTCCATAACACAACTTGTAACATAACGATTTCTTCCTCGGAAGTGAGGTTGTGGTCGAAGTAACAATAATATTGTAAGTAGTATTATATTGATACCCACTCGCTGCCGGAGAGAATTGTTATGTTATACGTTATAGTCATGCAAAATCCTATTGGCCATCAATAAAATACATATTTTACTACCAGTAGAAAGTTTTTGATTTGTAACTCGGTGAAAACAAACCTAAATAGCATTTATCCACAGACTGGCGGATGTTCCCGACAGGGCGCCGCCATTTTTGAAAATCGTAAAGTCTGTTAGAATTAATGAGATTATAGTCTGTTTTCATCAAGTTAGAAAATCAAAACTACTTTCTACTCGTAGTTAAATATGTATTGGAATCATAACCAAAAGGATTTTGCATGACACAACTTATAACATAACGATTTCTTCCACGGAAGCGAGGTGGGGGTCGAAGTCACAATACTGCGCGATAAATTTCTTGCTACATTCACATGGTTAATGTCCACTCACCAGTATGTAGATACTAGTCAATGTGCGTCTTTATATTTGGTCTTATAATCCTAATTAGTTTATTATCATACTTTTATGCATTTTGAAACTAAATAAAAAGCTGACGATCTGCTGATACTTATAGTGAATTTATAACAGGACTGTAATATCTAGACATTTTATAGTTTGCCAATGTGAATCATAATTCGCACACACGCCCTAGTGTATGTTGTCTGTCTCATTACACCTCACTGCGAAAACAATTATTCTGTTGAATGCTACGACAAATGAATAAAAAACAAAATGCAAATATTAAAATTAAAACAGATTAAAGTTATAGGAACAATATCAGGCCATTACCTTGTTTGGGGAATGTATCCATCAATATCCACAAAACTGTTCCAAATGATGTGTCTTTTAACAGTTTAATATACGAAAAAGTGATAAATCTGTTCAGGTATTGGTGTATAGTGTCATTGGTCACCCAAGATAGCACACCTGGCAACTAATTGCATAATGTCCGCCTTTCATTAAAAACAGTAATTTAGTTAGCCAATAATGGGCAATCAATCAATGTATTGCCGGTTAATCCTTTGAAAGAAGGACGTTGTTTTTACGCAGACACCGACACGGCAGAGTGTATTCAGTATAGATTAGTAAATCTACATACACTACCTTTTGACAAATCCGCTGTGTAAGATAAAAGTAATTAATCAATCAGCGTGTTATCGGTTAATCCTTTGATCGATGTTTATAATGTTGAATATTTACTCCAGACACAAGAAATGCCAAATGGGAACCTTTGTCGGGTAATCTAAGTGTGTTACCACTAATTATACCTGTTATAAATTCATTAACTGACCATCAAGTGAATGATGACAAATAACATGTGTAGGTGTATTCAGTATAGATTAGTAAATCTCATAAACACTACCTTTTGACAAATCCGCTGTGTAAGATAAAAGTAATTAATCAATCAGCGTGTTATCGGTTAATCCTTTGATCGATGTTTATAATGTTGAATATTTACTCCAGACACAAGAAATGCCAAATGGGAACCTTTGTCGGGTAATCTAAGTGTGTTACCACTAATTATACCTGTTATAAATTCATTAACTGACCATCAAGTGAATGATGACAAATAACATGTGTAGGTTTATACCACCTAACACGGGTTACAACAAGGGAGTATTAATTGCTGTATTGCATGTGAAAACTTATGGGCCGACACTGTTTTGAGAATACAAACAGATTTTTACATGACATGATTAAATATCGAGGTAAAAAAACACAGAAATGGGATCAATTTGGATCAGTCATACAAATAGGGCCTAACGACACCAATCAATTGTGACAGAAGCGTCTATGAAAACAAGTTGTAACTCGGAAACTAGGCAAAGCAGGAGACAAAATTAAATGCCAGTAGATTGTGAGAACATATAGCTTTCATTTTCAACAACAATTGTCACGATTTCAGGTTTATACAAGCCTGTAAACAAGATAATTTACCCCCTAAAATGTAGATGAATTCTGCATCGGCCCTCAAAGCTATTCCTCATATGACGTCACAGAGTCGCGCCGCTCTGATTGGTTGAAATTTCGTTCGCGGGTGAGAATTGTGCACTGTTGTCAAAAAGGTCGATTTAAGTCAATTAAAGGTCGAAATGAGTAGTTTTAATGACGGGGTTTCATTTATAACGATGCCAGTTAGTGATTTATGTATTTTTACCCCCCTAGGGTTTATGTGACCTTTAAACACCGCACTCAAGCGGGAATTATTACACGTGTTATGTCGTTTGAACTGATAATATCTTTATGACATAACATTTTCTCTTCCCCAAAGGTGGGTGACCCTAATAGCGCCTTTCTTATACATAGAACCTATAGTGCGTTTGGCTCAAAAGCGGACCGATGAATTGCAATCTAACTCAAAAAACTAATAAACATATAATACTCAATGAAACACTGATCATAATCAAAACATCAGACCAACTCTGTGATTTGTTTGCAGAATTTATGTCCTAAAATTAAAAAGGTTGTTTAACAAACTATCATTAAAATATTGACACAGTTCACTATTTGTTACGAGGGAGGAGTGCAGAGAAAGGGACAGCCAGGTGTTAGAGAAGCACGTGCACAGGTGCCGACAAAGTTATTGATTCATTAACCTGTGCTGTGCCGTGTCCATCCTTTCTCGCCCACCCGGCTGTCCCTTTCTCCGCGTTTACCATCTACCGACACCAGCTTTATCAATACTGAGTAAATGTGTATGAACTAATTAAAAGTTCCATAGCCAACGGACTTGTTGTCACACTGCCTGGCGATCAGCATTAAAACAAGGACCGATCGACTGGGAGCTGGTACACTGTTCATGAGTGGGAGATTGGGGTTCAGCTGTTGCATGATAGCATGGTATATCAGAGGACTAGCTTTTGACATTGTAAGTCGGACTAGTACAGTCACACACGCAAGCACGTCGCTGTGATATAATCATGGTCGCTGTGACATAATCATGCTCGCGACATATATAAAACACAATCTCGCCTCACCTAATTCCACCGTTAAAACCTACCTTATTTTGGCTCAGTGGTAAAGGTATTTTAGGAATTAAAAAACTATGTTCAACGTAAGTGAATTATTTGGATAGTTGATCTATACTGGGCGAATAAAATAAAAGTCTCATGAAGTCCTATCACAATGAGACTGATGTACATAAGTACACACATATTTCATATTCTTTGTTCAGCTGGTCAAGTTGGCTCATACCATGATAGAGTTTATTCAACCCTGGCCATTGGGTGTATTCGTTTCACAATGAATAATTCCACACAGAAATTTGTTACTTAATGAATGTTTCCATTCACTTTCAACAAAACACCAAACAGCCATTTTCCACCAGGCAATAAATAATAGCCTCACAGAATACCAAGACAGTCGACTAGAGAAATGTTGGGTTTTTAAAATTAAATTTCGTGATATGTTACGGGTTATATGGATCTAAATGCGACTCGTTAATCGCTCGTCTTGCTCTGTTTGATCCGTATTCAAATATTTATTTCGGTCAATTTTCAAACGCCTGTTCCGGGTTTATCAATGTTGCTGCGACCATGACCTTGTAAGTACCCACGCAGGTTTATGATATGTGCACTTTACACCGAGAAACACCTTCCTGGTGATAGTCAGCCTGCTGGGTTATCAAACTGTATTGATCGAATGATAACCAAGACCATTGTGCTGTAGAAACAAAAACATCTGAACAAAAAGGATTTAAAGACCGCTGTGCATAGGCATGGGATAGATAATATACGTGCGAAGACGCTCATAACGAAACCGCCTCCGTGGTGTAGTGGTTAGAGCGTCCGCCCGGAGAGCGGAAGGTCGCGGGTTCGATCCCCGGCCGCGTCATACCAAAAGCAGTACAAGCAGCCGCACATACACATACACACGCATGCACAAAATATTTCGCTACTACTTGTCTGTCTAATAGTCCCTGAACCTCATTATTTTCCGAGAGCGGAAGGTCGCGGGTTCGATCCCCGACCGCGTCATACCAAAAGACGTTAAAATATGGTACTTGTTGGTCCCTGCCTGGCGCTCGGCATTAATGGCTACAACAAGGACTGGTCGGCTCGGAGTCAGTATAATGTGTCTTAGTGGGGTATTCATGCTTCACTGCGGCATGGTATCTCAATGGGCTAGCACTATAATACCAGCTTCAGTCTGGGCTAGTACAAGCAGCCGCACATACACATACACACACATGCACGTCGTCATATGAGCGAAATATTCTCAAGCACGACGTTAAACCCAATTTCACCTCACCTCACCTTATAACGAAGTGAGCGTTATAACGAGCTATTTATTCATTCTTTCATTCATTCATTCTACTATTTTTCTAGTAGGACTGCACGATATTACCGGTATACCGGTATATTGCAATACACCTTTCAAACTATACGTATTGTAATGGGGGTTTTTCCCTGAACCGGCATATTGGAGAAATTACAAAGTTTTGAGATCATATCTGTATACAGGGTTCATTTTGACAAAACAAAAGAACTTCATGCTTCTTTTATACGAGTGGCTAATTGGAAGAACGTTCGGAAAACCACTTCGCTGAGTGGGGCTATGTCTTGTAGATAATTGCTATAAATTCAGCTTCACCTCTATTTTGATTTATGGTTTGTTAGCTGGCCTGTATTAGTTAATGTCACAGGAGGGTGAGTGAGGTGAGTTAGGTTTTGCGCTGCTTTTGAACAATGTTCCAGTTATATAACGTCATGTCAGCCTGATTTTGGAGGAAAACCGGAAGTAATACAGGACATTTACCATTTTGGTGGAACCAACGGGCACGGGTATGGTGCTGATCTTGACACCTGCTCCAGGCGACCCGGAATAGAACTCACGATGATGGCATCCAAGGGACGCAACTCCGCTGAGCGAATTGCGGCGCCTCGGACTACTCGGTCACCCTGTTCCCTTTCACGAAAGAGATTACGTATATGGCGCACGTTGGGCGTTTCTTCATTATCAAGCTGTCACCTTGTGATTATACCTAAACTCTTTTCAAATGCAGTGTTAAACCAAACAATACATTACCACTACCGCCTGTCGCCATGGTGATACATTACCAAGCATTCCAGCTGCGTTCTTCTTTTAGAATGTACCCCATAAAAGATTATATCTAAATCTTAAAACTCGATTGCTTTCAAATTTCTAGAGCTCAATGTCAAGATTATGTAACTGAGTTGAAAACTAAACACCTGGATTTGACCTAACTACTCTGAGCTTCTAGATTCAACTGATTGTCACGCACTATATTATTTTCCTTGTTGGATATGCGCTGTTAGGAACAGTTTCCTATACCTCTGTCAATATTGAAAGAGCGGGATGACATGTGTTGTTTATAAGTATTGTTAATTATAATATATATGTAAGATTCATTCATATATTTAATCGGAAAGTTTGAGATCAGAATGCCTTGGTGCTATTGGTTTGTTTGGTTGTATGTTGTTTAACGCCGCACTCAACAATATTACAGCTGTGTGACAGCGGTCTGTAAATAATACAGACTGGACCAGACAATCCAGTGATTCACATCAGCTTCCATCAACGCCACTGGGATACGATGATATGTGTTAACCAAGTCAGCGAGGCGTTAGTCGCCTCTTACGACGAACATAGGTTACTAGGGCTGCGCAATATAACCGGTTTACCGGTATTTACCGGTTCAGACATGAAAACGATACGTATTGCGATGCGCTGATCGAAAACCGGTATTTTGACTTGCATTCGGAAATCTTTGCAACACTCGGAAATCTTCGGATATTTCCTTGTTTCATTTGCGCCAAATATTATTCACATTTTAATTTTATCATGATTAAAAGTTGTTATTGAAGCTTAATCAAGCATAGTGATTTTGCTCTATAAATAACGCATAAACTCGATTATAGGTAGTTTTTTGTTTAAAAATACTTCATGCAATATATCGCAATATGAAAATTCTCTGCAATACCCACCCCTATAGGTTACTCAAGACGAATTCAGGATCGTTTTGTACTGATAGCAATATGACGGCGAGAACAAGACTATTCTGAAAAAAGAAAGTCATCAATAAAAAAAACCCAAAGTTCTATATTACAGCAATGTCGGAAATCTATTTTAACGCTCTGATGATCCGGGTTAAAATTGTTCGTGTTGAGGGCGATTTAACGGGAGCTGGTGGTCAGATTCACTGACTTGATTCAATTATGTAGACCTTCCTTATGTCGCGGAAATATTGCTGTGTGCTCGTCTAACAACAATCAATGGTATTTTACCTAACATAATTAACTATTGGACACGCTGAATATTTAAGATGTGCTTGGTGTTATTTTAATGTTTTAAAATATATTTTAACGTGAGGCAGTAAATGTTTGCACAGTTGCCTCCCTTCGATTTCCTATCGTCATAAGTCCAGCTGGAGTTATCTCCCTTCCATTGCACGTTAGACCATTCGTGACCCACTCGTGTTATTCCGGGTTACGGAAAGGGGCGAGTGGTGACGAATGACGTTAGACAAGTAAGCACGACCGCCCGCATGGCGGTACAGCGCTCATACTTTTTTTATATTTCTTCATATTGTTCAGAACAATGGCAGATCGGGCCGACGTTAAACCAAAAAGAAAAGCAGCAGGTGCTCGCATGCCAGAGATTATGGAGGCTTTGCTAAAACAATCCCCCGTCGTCGAGTTTGCCAATGTTTAAGATGTGCTTGTTGTAGATTGGGTCCCGACGCTTGGTGGTGGTCACCGAGTTCTGTGATGGAGGAAGCTTGCTGGACCATCTCAGCAGACCAGAGAACGCCTACGGCCTGGACGAGGAGGAATACTTGCTGGTTCTCCGCCATCTCTGTATGTACGACCCTGTAACTACATCCGCTGCCCCCGCCCATAATATACTCATGGAAACAAATAAGGGTACACGTGAAAGTACGCGTTTTCCTTTATTTATTTCCAGAATTTCACTCACAGTGCAATACATACCTTGTGAAGAAACCTGGAAAAGAGTAAAGGTTATCACGATACGATACGTATCGCAATATCTTGGAACGATACGATTCGATTTGATGCATATCACGATATGCTATCTTTAGTTATTTTCTTTAAAAAAGTATAGCAAGTAACAATGTAAATTTCGACACAACCGTCAATTTCTAGTGAACATTCACTACTTTAAGGTCAACGATACATATCATGATACGAAAACAAGTATTGATATATTTATTGTCGGATAAAGTATCACGATTATCGATACTACGATATATCGTCACAGATATATATAACACGTCACAATTTAATTCTGGACTCACAAAAGTCCAGAAACTCTCCGCACTGTGGGCACTTTCTGACAAGGGATTTGACCTAATTAAACATGCAGTGGTTATGAATATATGCCAAGGATGAAAAAATGAAAAAAAATTCTTTCGAAAACTTTAAATTTAAACTCGCTCGCCCATGGGCAGGCCCATGGGCGAACAGTGGCTCATGGGCCGGCCCATGGGCGAGAATGTTTAATTTCGATCAGAATTCATGTTTTGGAGGTTGTAAATGAATGAGTGTATGTTTGTAAGCATCATGAAACAAAATTCAACTCATATTGACTTAATTCGACTAACTTAGAACGATATTAAAAAATCTCGCCCATGGGCGAAAAATAGGTTGGCCCATGGGCGAGAATATTTACTTTTACTCAAAATATGTGTTTTTCCATGTTTTGGAGGTTGTAAATGAATGAGTGTATGTTTGTAAGCATCATGACACAAATTTCAACTCATTTTGACTTAATTCGACTAATTTAGAGCGATATTAAAAAATCTCGCCCATGGGCGAAACACATTTTGGCCCATGGGCGAGAATATTTACTTTTACTCAAAATATGTGTTTTTCCATGTTTTGGAGGTTGTAAATGAATGAGTGTATGTTTATAAGTACCATGAAACAAAATTCAACTCATATTGACTTAATTCGACGAACTTAGAACGATATTAAAAAATCTCGCCAATGGGCGAAAAATAGGTTGGCCCATGGGCGAGAATATTGACTTTTACTCAAAATATATGTTTTTCCATGTTTTGGAAGTTGCAAATGAATGAGTGTATGTTTATAAGTATCATGAAACAAAATTCAACTCATATTGACTTAATTCGACTAACTTAGAGCGATATTAAAAAATCTCGCCCATGGGCGAGAATAATGACTTTTACTCAAAATATGTGTTTTTCCATGTTTTGGAGGTTGTAAATGAATGAGTGTATGTTTATAAGTACCATGAAACAAAATTCAACTCATATTGACTTAATTCGACTAACTTAGAACGATATTAAAAAATCTCGCCCATGGGCGAAAAATAGGTTGGCCCATGGGCGAGAATATTTACTTTTACTCAAAATATGTGTTTTTCCATGTTTTGGAGGTTGTAAATGAATGAGTGTATGTTTGTAAGCATCATGACACAAATTTCAACTCATTTTGACTTAATTCGACTAATATAGAGCGATATTAAAAAATCTCGCCCATGGGCGAAAAACATTTTGGCCCATGGGCGAGAATATTGACTTTTACTCAAAATATATGTTTTTCCATGTTTTGGAAGTTGCAAATGAATGAATGTATGTTTATAAGTACCATGAAACAAATTTCAACTCATATTGACTTAATTCGACTAACTTAAAACGATATTAAAAAATCTCGCCCATGGGCGAAAAATAGGTTGGCCCATGGACGAGAATATTTACTTTTACTCAAAATATGTGTTTTTCCATGTTTTGGAGGTTGTAAATGAATGAGTGTATGTTTGTAAGCATCATGACACAAATTTCAACTCATTTTAACTTAATTCGACTAATATAGAGCGATATTAAAAAATCTCGCCCATGGGCGAAAAACATTTTGGCCCATGGGCGAGAATATTGACTTTTACTCAAAATATATGTTTTTCCATGTTTTGGAAGTTGCAAATGAATGAATGTATGTTTATAAGTACCATGAAACAAATTTCAACTCATATTGACTTAATTCGACTATCTTAAAACGATATTAAAAAATCTCGCCCATGGGCGAAAAATAGGTTGGCCCATGGGCGAGAATATTGACTTTTACTCAAAATACATGATTTTCCATGTTTTGGAGGTTGTAAATGAACAAATGTATGTTTATAAGTACCATGAAACAAAATTCAACTCATATTGACTTAATTCGACTAACTTAGAACGATATTAAAAAATCTCGCCCATGGGCGAAAAATAGGTTGGCCCATGGGCGAGAATATTTACTTTTACTCAAAATATGTGTTTTTCCATGTTTTGGAAGTTGCAAATGAATGAGTGTATGTTTGTAAGCATCATGACACAAATTTCAACTCATTTTGACTTAATTGGACTAATTTAGAGCGATATTAAAAAATCTCGCCCATGGGCGAAACACATTTTGGCCCATGGGCGAGAATATTTACTTTTACTCAAAATATGTGTTTTTCCATGTTTTGGAGGTTGTAAATGAATGAGTGTATGTTTGTAAGCATCATGACACAAATTTCAACTCATTTTGACTTAATTCGACTAATATAGAGCGATATTAAAAAATCTCGCCCATGGGCGAAAAACATTTGGCCCATGGGCGAGAATATTGACTTTTACTCAAAATATATGTTTTTCCATGTTTTGGAAGTTGCAAATGAATGAATGTATGTGTATAAGTACCATGAAACAAATTTCAACTCATATTGACTTAATTCGACTAACTTAAAACGATATTAAGAAATCTCGCCCATGGGCGAAAAATAGGTTGGCCCATGGGCGAGAATATTTACTTTTACTCAAAATATGTGTTTTTCCATGTTTTGGAGGTTGTAAATGAATGAGTGTATGTTTGTAAGCATCATGACATAAATTTCAACTCATTTTGACTTAATTGGACTAATTTAGAGCGATATTAAAAAATCTCGCCCATGGGCGAAAAACAGTTTGGCCCATGGGCGAGAATATTGACTTTTACTCAAAATACATGATTTTCCATGTTTTGGAGGTTGTAAATGAATAAATGAATGTTTATAAGTACCATGAAACAAAATTCAACTCATATTGACTTAATTCGACTAACTTAGAACGATATTAAAAAATCTCGCCCATGGGCGAAAAATAGGTTGGCCCATGGACGAGAATATTTACTTTTACTCAAAATATGTGTTTTTCCATGTTTTGGAGGTTGTAAATGAATGAGTGTATGTTTGTAAGCATCATGACACAAATTTCAACTCATTTTGACTTAATTCGACTAATTTAGAGCGATATTAAAAAATCTCGCCCATGGGCGAAACACATTTTGGCCCATGGGCGAGAATATTGACTTTTACTCAAAATACATGATTTTCCATGTTTTGGAGGTTGTAAATGAATGAGTGTATGTTTATAAGTATCATGAAACAAAATTCAACTTATATTGACTTAATTCGACTAACTTAGAACGATATTAAAAAATCTCGCCCATGGACGAAAAATAGGTTGGCCCATGGGCGAGAATAATTACTTTTACTCAAAATATATGTTTTCCATGTTTTTGGGGTATGGTGGTTTATCCCTTATTATAAACATATTAATTATTACTTTAGCTCTCACCTACCTCATCATATGTAGTCACTAGGCACTTAAAACATTAGAAGTAATGCCATGAAATGTGGCTCGTCAATGGTATGCGTGTACGAACAGATAATATCAAAACATACACGTCAGAACAGTCAAAATTAAGAAATTGTTGAATATGAAATATTACTGTTAATTTGTAATTCTTGGAACATAAACAGTATTGTGAGAGCTTAAAAATGTAACTGCATTGAAATATGTCTTGTCAATCCTATTGACATTTGCCAGTAACCACTTCCAAATAAAATAAATAGTCCATGCTGCTTCAGAACAAATAAAGGTCAATTAGGGAGCCCCAGCTGGGTAATTAAGGAGAGAAGTCAATACACTGTCACTTCCTGCCCAGGACGTCACACGTCACCACTCGGGAGCGAAGGGCCTTGTCAAACCTCCTCACAAAGGAAACAAAAAGCATCAAAACTGTGTTTTTATTCTACGTGACACTCGGTATGTCGTCATAGTATTCATTGTTGAATAACTTCTATCGTGGGCAACCCCACACTTGCGAGGTGTACCTACCCAGGTTCGCACGTTTCGTTTTAATATTTTGTGATCAATTATTTTGTAATTCCCGTCTGCCCGTCACAGACATTCTTCGCCCGAGGTTTAAGGGAGTGAGTCTATTATATTAATTGTATTTTTATTGTGTCGTTTAACGAGCTGGACACGGAGTGCTGTTATCATGAATGTTATCATATATTAGTGGGATGCATTGATAGTAATGAAAACTTATAAGAAGATAGTGTACCTCAACATACAAACCTATCCCGATAGCTCTCATCCTCACTCTCATGTCAATCCATTGTGACTGTTGCAGTCCTCCTGTACATCCTGTATATATAAGCAAGTTGGGTTTTTTTATTTAGGATTTATTATTGCTAAACACACATTTAACCGAGATGAAGAAGGGGGTCTCAAATTCCATGTATGCTTTTGCTCTCATAAGTTAGACATCCCATTTGTCAGACACGCCAATTACTAGACAGTATCAGACAACTTTGGATCAATCAGGCGTGACTGTGATTACAAACCTAGTTTTACCCAGTGGCGTAATAGACCCGTCCCATAGACTAACGAGATGTTTTCATATTAGTGGTTAGTGGTATATTTTAACACTAATTATGAGTTTGTTACTTTTTGTGCAGAAATACTTTGATCAGAATACTAATATTAATTGACTTCGGCTTCTCACAGTTTGTGTTCATAATGTTCACT